CTCGAAACGCTTCAGCCCTGCCTTCAATGACTTGGTCCTCCTCTCCATCTCAGGCTGGTTCTTGGCCTGGTAGACTGTGTCGCTGCCATCGCTGAACTGGGAGTATGGGTTGATCGGGTTGTCATTCTGGCTGTAGGCATCCTTGATTAGGCACAGATTGCTGGGGATGTGTGTGTGTGTGTGCAACATGCAAGTCATGAAACCGTCTCTTCTCATGGCCTGGGCGGCAAGTTTTAGCATGTTATACATACATATATATATAGTTAGAGTGAGACATTGCATAATAACTATATTATATTATGTTTTTCTGTGTGACGCAGCCCCCAACCAACATCCGTTTTGGCCAAAAGACTGTTGGACAAGAATCAAAACGGGATTGACATTGTACGTGGCATTCGCATAAACAGAAACTGTCTGTTTGCAGTTATGACTCTTATGACATGTAAATAATGCAAACATACATTGCGGGAGTGGTTGTTTGTGTGCACTCTCCAAGAATGACTGTTAATGGCAACACGGGTATGTGGCGGTTGGTTACGGTGACAACAGCCCAGTGAGGCGCGTAAAGAGTATCTCCATTGTAAACGTTCCTTTGTTTCCGATAGTTTCCTTTTTCAAGTCGTTGCTCTTCAAGAATTTCCTCTGCTCTGCCAAAACCCCTCCAAATGTTCATAATCTGCTATATCTGCTATTGACAAAAACAAACACCTCTGCAAATTTTCCACAAGTCCATATCTACCAGAGACCTTGATCATTCCAAGGGCCTTGGTCTATGTACAAACGTGGGCACCGAAACGACCGAAGGTTCCACGGTGGCCATGAGCTGCCACCAGCAGCCCAGCTGCTAGCTGCTCGTTTGATCCAGTCCAAACGGTGCCCTCCCAACAAGTCCAAACCGTTTGGGCGGACCTTCTTGACCTAGCAGATACGAGTTGCGGTCACACATAGAACTATGGTGGCCTTTTCGTGGCGGACCTTTGTTGCCACACCGCTGCCTGAAATCACTGGAAAAAGAAACAATGTGGAAGGGAAGTTTGGCACGGTCAATAATAGATAGGCTAAACTCAATTTCTTGAGGAGTGCAATGTGTGTGCGGGCAGGTTCACAGGTGTATTGGTTCCGGGTTTGTACCACTACATCGCAGTATACCTTTGTTCCAACTTGTAATATATATATATGTGTGTGTCTACATACAGTCGCTCTTTATGTCTTCAATCTTCACAAAGGTGGAAAGGAACCGACACCTATGAATGACAAAAACAGTACTGTTTAGCTAGAAATACCCTGTAAAGTACTCAAATGTTGGACCTGAGGGGTTATTGGAGCGGCGGTGCAACACTATTTTAGAGTGTGTGCAGTGTGCACCTCCATAGTCACATAACTATATATATATATATAAATACAATATGTTTGCGCTTCCACCTTCCCATCTGGTTAAAACGTTATTGCGCACCCCTCCTCGCCTTCCTCATTCTGTTTTGCCAAGCGTCAGACTGGCCGCTGCCAAACCCAAAGACGGAGAAAGTGGGGACCTGCACATGCAGGAGATTGCGACTGTTGATAAGGCCCCCTTTAACCTCCCGCCTGACCCAGCCAGGATAAAACATGATGAAATGGCCGCACAGGTCCAAATGAGCCCTGCCTCAGCCATGGCTGGTGCAGATACTGCCACCATGGCAGCTGCCATCGCCGCTGCTGCTTCGTTGCGCTGCTTCGGCGTCACAAAGGTCTCGCCTGACAAAAGGCGCAGGGCCACGAGGGCTCCGGCGGCCAAAAGAGCCTTGGAGAGCGTAGAGGCACGAGCCATTGCAGGATTGGCAGTCCGCAAGGCAGTCAATAGGCCGGCAGGAGTGCAAAAACGGCTGCGCTGTGCGGGTCTCTCTACCTTTCAATGCAGTTGGAGTTGGGGCCGCTTCTTTTAAGCAAGCACTTGATGCGCTTGTCCAACATCCGTAGACCATAACTAGGTCATGGAGTCATGAACTACATTCATGTTTGTTGGTAAACATTTCGTGACTTGCATTTGCATCACCACCCAAAAAGCTGCAGCTCAAACATGCCTTATTTTCCTTCCTGCCCATGAATCATGATGGAGAACTTTCAGAGCGCTAACTACTCAATTGAAGCCGGAGAGGCTCTTCCACTCAGCCAGGATGCTGGA